TAATCTAATTTAACTACTTAACCTAATTTAGCTGCTCATGAGATGTAGTTGACTATGGTGCAAAAAAATGAAAAAACAATTTTGTTTCCAAATGCTGTTAGTGTGCAGGCCTAAGCCAACTACATCCTAAATATAATAACCTCATTATAATTAAGCTGATTTGGCAAGTGAATAATCAGGGATTTTGCAGGTATTCTCTTTTGCTGTCTCTCGAGCCCAAATTTACCCTCAGTTATTTACAGCACTTAACCTGAAGCAGCTCAGACAGTTCTCAGATCTCTTCTTTGGAGTTACTCTCTTTTGCAGGAAAATATGCACATGCTTTCATCTTGAAGGAGATTATCTCTGTGGTGGCATGCACTGGTGTCACCTGGTTATGTGAGAGCCCGTGGTCTCAATCCCTACTTCCCATCACTAGTAAGAGGCCTTACAAACCATGCTGGGCTGGGTTAGGATTTCTGCCTGCTTTTCTGTTCTTTTGTTTGCTGCTCTCCCAAGAGCTTTGAAAATCTGAGTTTCATCCTGGGGTGTGGAAGAGACCAAAAAAAAAAAAAAAAAGTAAAACTCCTCATGGGACGGGACATTCTGGTGCCCATCTTGTGGGTGTGCATGACTCTCTGAGAGATGTGTAAGGAAAGAAAAGCCAGAAGCAGATGTCTCTGTGGCCTGTGGCGAGGGGAGCAGGGATGCGTGCGAGGGGCTGACGAATTCCTGCCCTGACAAAGACACCCCAACTGGAATTTATGAGAATCCATCCGTAATAAAACGCTTTTAACTTACTGTCTGGCTGTCATCCGGGCGCATCCCAGGAACGGTGGCATAAGGATAAAGCTGCCACATCGCGCATTCCTCACTATCACCGCAGCTTCTCTCTCGATGAAACAGAATCTCCCCTCGTCTGACAGTTCTGAGAACTGGAGCAAGAAAACCTCGGCGACGTTGCTGTGCTTGGAAGCCCGTGCAAAGCATGGCAGTCTCCTGAGCAAAACTTTTCCATCGCTCCCGCTACGAAGTCAGGATGCAAATAACAAATTGGCAGGCTTGGATTTTAGAAGATTCTGCACATATCTGAGGGGAACAGAAATGTTACCGCAAGATTGCTGAAAAAAATAGATGGATGGTTTAGTCGTGTGGAAGATGTGTGTCATCAGCAAAGGAATGTCTTCTCATGAGCTACAGCAAGGGCAAGTCCCTGGCCCTGTGGAAGCCCAGGGGAGGCTTGATGGGACTCACTGCAAACTCTGCTGGCATTACTCTGGCAGGGTCAGTGGCTAAAGGCATAGCCAGGGTCTGCCCTGCCTGATGCTTCCCTGAAACAACTGTCCATGAATCAGTGGTTGGGAAAATCCCTGTTGGTGGGGGCGAGGTGGGGTGCAAGGTGCAGTGTTAACCCCACAGACCCTCTGCTGGTGGGAAAGGTGGGCTGTTCATAAGGGCTGTTCAGAACAGGAGGGAAATGTGGTGCTCTGGTTTGCCCTGCAGAGGGGTTTTGAAGCCCAGACGTGGTCACAGCCCTCTTGAGCTGAGGAATCTGATGTGAGGGGTAGGAATCTGCTTGCCTGGGCAGGGAAAAAGGCACAGCTTGGGGGCTTGGGGTTGGAGTTGAATGAAAGTGAACACTTTTAAGCCTGACAATTATGAAGATATTGCAGGACTTCATGATGTTAATGTAATTTTTCTGACCAGATCAACCCTAGCAAATCTCAACAATGAGTCAATTTTCAACTGTCAGTGCCAGCACAGAGCAACACTGGAGACCACAAGGCAAAGAGAGAAATGCTGAGACAGCCTAATGGAGCATCCAGCTCAGCCCAAACAACTTGCATGTTTTGTTTTGTTCTTTTAATTCTTGAAAAGAATTAGAAAAGGATGGCAAATTTCACCAGAAGTGAAAGAAAACCACAGAGGTCTTTGTCTGTGGATAAAGTGTTTTCAAGAGCTAGCAAGCATAAATGTTTTCCTATTTTCACTGTTTTCTGTACCTTAGGACCAAACCACGTAGGATATTTGCTGAGACTCCAAAGTATTCTTATTTGGACTTTGTTGTTTTAGAGAACTTGTTTTGCAGAACTGCACATCCCAGGGAAGGAAATTAAGGTCAGAGATGAGAAAAACCCACCTAAGGGCCTGAAATAATTTTAGTTTCTCCAAGACCACCCTGTGTGGGAATAATACATTTAAAAATGGGTGGAACCTCTAAGCCTGGACTTGTATCAAGTTATTCATGAAAATTCTCAGAGATCTTTGTGTGGACCAAGATATTTGGGTGGTACTTTCTCACTCTTTCTTCAGAAGAGGCACTGTGGCCTCACAAACTGAAAACTAGCCTTGCTTTTTTTTCTCTGGCTTTAAAAATAGCTGCGTATCTTGAAAAGCTGTCTCAGCAATAGTGAAGGAATGGAAAAAAAAGTCCATTCTATCCCCATGGTTTCATACAGTGCAGCTGTGCTAACAGAGTGCATGGAGACCGAGACCAGGGGAAAGGCACGAAATAGTCCATGAAACGAGCAGTTGAACCTAACAGTAAAGCTTCACTTAATGGGGAGATTGATTGTTCAGGTATCCTATTGCAGATGGCAGGGTTTTGTCTTTATTTTTTAGGAAAAAATCCAGAATATTGATAGATTCAAGCCCTTTGTATTAATAACATTTTGACTGAAATCGATGGGAAAGTTATCTTCTTTTGGGAAATCTATCTTACTTTAAAATGAAATCTTTACATATCCTCACAGTGTATTTGGGTCAAATATCCATATTTTATTTTTATTTCACTTCTGGTTGAATGTCTGTAGGATGGCAATCGAATTTCAAAACAACCAGGTTAATAATTAAATAATTACATTGTATAATATTTTTGTTTACATTTATGTTAGGCAATCATTATTTTTATGTCATAATATAATGTAATTATTGTAACTGTTTATGAGATCAGTTTAAAAAGCACTTCTGTTTTGATTTGAAAGGAGCAAGCATGCATCACCCTACAGCCTTCAACAGCCCCTCTTAGGTCTTGGTGCAATCATTACCAGTACAGGAATAACGGAACAAACATCCACCAAATGAAATATGCAGTTGCCACAGTGGAGCTATTCCCCCTGAGTCAACTCTGAAGTGCAAGTGGTTAGTTTATAACCCTCTTTAGGTTACAACATTTTAACGTTCCTTCAGTGTTTATTTATTCTCTTCCCAAAGAATGTTCTGAAATATCGGGTTTACAACCTGTGGCTCATGTGATGGTCGTGGAAACAATTAAGCTAGAAACTTTCAAAGCCACCACTGGGATTTTGATGCCCAACTCATTAATTTTAATAAGAAGGGAGCTGCCAGTCTCTTAAGTGGTTTCTAAAATCTCAACCCATAAAAAACACCTCTCTACTGGTTCCAGTTTACTGGGAGCTCAGAGCAAGGTAAACACGTGTAACAAAATAGTAGGTGTTAAAAGGTGGAAAGTACGTGTTCAGATGTCTCTAAGACCACTCAAGGAATCAAACAGCAGCCCCAGCCTTGAGCTGGCAGATGTAAGGGCTGCTCCTACCTTCAGCATCTCGGGAAATTTGGAGCACAGTTTTGGTGGCAAAGGAGAAAAAAGTGAGTGGGAACAGAAATCTTGGCAACAGAGAGCACCAAGAGCTCTCAAAGAAAATTGATGAAAACCCCAACTCAACATGAAACATGGATGAAAGTCTTAATGGGGAAAAAAAGTTCAGAACCAATAGATCTGTCTGTGATGTAAAATAGAGCATGGAGTGAGCATGAATGAGTTTGAAAAAGGACTTTATGGGAGTCTGAATACTTGGAAAAAGAGGGGGAAAAAATCGGATTTTTTTGTGTCTTTTATTAATGAAATCAACCATGTAGAATTTTGGAATTAGTTTAAACAAGTCTCCTTTTCTGTATCTGTTGAGTGATGATCTCTGAAGAACTTCATGAATGTTTGCTGCAAGTGACAAAGTTACTGTACTTTTTGCCAGGGAGTCTCATAGTAGCAATGGTTATCAGTAGTTATTGGAAGGGCCTTTAGATGAAACACAATGCACTGGAAGCAGAGATGACCATCCTGACTGGTATTGTAACAGACTTCAAAAAAATCAGAAAGAAAAAAAACCCTTCCATTAGTAGTAGATGTGACTTTTTTGGAAGAGAACAAAATGTTCCATAAATGAAACATGTGGTTTCACTTGCGGCACATTTTGTACATTGTCACCAATGAAGTTTAGGATTTTTTATTACTTTTTCATTAAAATGTCTTACTGGTTTCACTCAGGAGGCAAAATTTTTCACGTGGCTTTAATTGTTTCTGTCATAAAAGTCATAGCATCCATGTAATAGAAATAGTTTTGCAGACCACAACTTCATATTGCCTGTTAATTCTCTCCCATTTTCTGTACCTACAACTCATTGGCCCATCCCAGGGACAGGAAAAGCTCCTCTCTTGCAATTAAGACCGAATATGAACTTCTACTGAAGTTGGGGGTGGGGGGGGTGGAAATAACTTTGTGTCAGTCCTGGTTTATTAGATTTTTGTTTCAGATATCTTAGCTCACAGTAAGTTCACATGGCTGCATACCAAAGGAGTTTGAATTGACTTTTTTCTAAAATCAGTGGAACACTGGAAGATGAAAATAAAAGGTCTTTTTCTGCATCATTCCAGTCATATACAAGACGTGGTAGTATTTCAGACAGAAGTGAGGAGCTCTGGCAGTATTGTTTCAAGGAGTCTTTGGACAGGTCATTTACCCCCTTTTTTCTACATTACCTGCTGGAGTTCAGGTCTCACATATCCCATCCCAGCAGCCCAGCTTCCATGCTTCTGTCATCAGGCTTGGCTTCCTTGTCACCAATCCTGACTCGGATGAGCAGCCCCAGAGCAAAAGCCTTCCTCCCTGTGCACCATCTCAGCCATTAGGAGCACACACCAAACAGTGTAGTCCTCTGCTTTCACCCTTTTTTGGCTTGATTCCTCCCTTATTCATCAAATATTTAAATGTTGTGTTTTGCAGTTCAAGGACGACAAAGACAAGCCCGGCCTTGGAAGGCTCCTCAGTGACAGCCCTGCCCGCTGTCCCTCTGTCTGAGCAGGTCCCACTGACCTCTCCTTCCCTGAAGCCCCTGCACATGGATGAAGAAGACAGCCTGTCTCCTCACCTCTTGTTGCCAGACAGCATCAGCCAGCTGGAAGAGTTTGGCAGGCAGAAGAAATGGCACAAGAAGCAGCACAAACACCATCGCCAGAGGCAGTTCAATGACCTCTGGGTTCGGATAGAAGACAGGTGAGTCATAACTGTTTTGGTCCCTGTCCTCTTCCTGATGGCTTCTAAGTAGTGGCTCTTTACAGATCCCAGCTCTTGTTGATTAGACCATAAGGAGGGTTGGAGAAAGGCTAAACAGGAGAGACAGGGAGTGAGATGATATTTTTGGAGCCTAATGAAGAACTAGGAGGAAAACTCATAGGAACGTTTGATCTAAAAGGAAAGAGAAAAAAAGCTAATGCTTAGAATATTTAAAATATACAGAAACAAAGACTTGTCAGAGTAAAAACAGGAAAAAAACAACAATAGAAAATATTCTGCGTTTGCCCTTTTTCTTCCAATAATTATTTTCCAATCTTCAGTGTCAGTTTTCAGCCCAAAGGCTCCCTCGTTTTCCAACCATGATGAATATTCCCAGGAGTTTTTAAGATTCTGACATATCTGCCTTTCAACCTTCTTAACTGTATTCTGGGGCTGAAATGTTTTAACATCCCAGACTGCATTGAAAACAGCAAACTGAGGCAAAATGAAGTACTTAACTAAGGCCTCTATGTGGACAGAGAATGGAGGTAGGCACATTTCCATGGCTATTCCAGGCTTTGAGGTTAAAAACTCCTATTCTGTGTTTGAATAAGAGCCTTCATGTTTGACCAGGGCTTCTCAATGTGTGCTTTAAGGATTCCTGAGCAATTAATTCTCCCACCTCAAAAACTGGAAAAGCTCTTAGTGCCTTTATCCAGGCCAAGTCATAGGCAGATAAACAGCCACAATGTTTATAGATCTTCTAACAAGTAAAAGGAATTAAGTAATCTTTTGGGAACTGGCTGCTCACCTACACATGTAATGATTGTCTTTGGGCATTACTTATTCCCACGTTCATAGCACCTTAATTCCTTGCAAGTCTCTCTGAGATTTCTCCCTTTGCTAAGGAAAAAGCTTCATATACTTATGTTTTCAGATTTTTGTAAATTTACTTTTATTCATTCCTTTTAACGGAATAGTTGCCTCATTTTTTGTAGTTTCTTGTATTCTCAGGGTGAATGATGTAAGGGTTGTTATTAAGGTGGTGCATATTAATCTTAGTGTAATAAGGCTGTTTCTGAGGTCAGTGCCAGCCTTGTAAGAGGGATTCATGTGTTTTCTTTTCAAAGTGTGTTGAGTGGTTGGATCCTCTCCACAGAGGATGTTTAAGTATGAACTAAGAGGCATTTGGATCAATGTAGTGGATTACCTCAAAGACAAGGGACTTTTCTATCCTTCTTCTGCTCAGGAGCTGCTGACTCGTGGTGTCTCGTGGTGTCTCAGCATTTCACAAAGGTGTCTGGTCCAGATCACCATATGTGTCATACAAGTGAGAGGTTTAAATAGATCTGGTGGGAGCCTGGCAGTTAGGCACAATCCTCCTGCCCCCATTCTATCTATCCAGAAAGGATATTGGATATTGGGTGGTATATGGCAGTGGAAATGTGCAGTTGGGGCCTAAAGTGGTGCTTGCGCACTTTTGTGCCTTTTGCTGGTTTTATTAAAAACTGTTCCTAGGAAAATTATTTAAAAGGTATTTCTGAAGGTTAGAGTTAAATTACGTGTTCTGGGCTCCTGTGAGATTTCATCTGAATCAACCCTTTTATCCCTCTACTTCGATTTCATAAGGATGGAGATTGGGATAAGGAAATATAAGTTTCCGCTCCCACCACGCTGGTGAGGAACCAAACACTGTGTGTCGCCTGCCTTGCTGAAAGATCCCAGGGAGATATTAGTGGCAGATCACAGCCCTAGAAATGAGGAAAAGCTGGAAGAAGGGAAGCCTGCCTTAGTGCTTTCAGATGGTTTTAGCGCTTCTACAGTTCTGGAGTAACTTCTGGTGTTTTCCTGGAAACAAAACAAAAAAATACAAACTGTTCAGCTAAATCAGAGACTCACAACCAGCTCTGGTTTCCCCATAAATTGGACGGGGTCTCAACTTTCATAAACCAGCTGCTGCATATTGTGCTTTTGGCAGTTGGGTTTCATCAGCATTAATTGCAAACTGGACCCTGCACAAAGCAATAAACAGCGAGTTCTCTCTAACTTGTTCCTTTCTGATCGGCAAGAAAAAGGCAGAAATGTGTGTCTGTCACCAGACTTTGTACTGTGGCCATTCTTGGGAGGAAACAGGCAGGATGGCTGATAATACAGGCATTGGAGTGTTACCTGTGCAGGAGAGAGACGTGGACTTCTATTGCATTGCCACAATAATGTCTGAACAGTGAGACATAGCTTTCATTTCTGGAGGATAATCAGTGTATTAGGAAGTTCTCACTCTGGCCTGTCCCGTAGATCCATTGTGCATTTACATATACTGCAGCTGGAATCCCTCGTGTTCTGTACGGACCAAGGTCTCTGTGTATGGTATTACCTTCAGCTATGGCCTCGTGTTTCCAAATGGTTCTTCTTCCAGGTTGAGTTTCCTCACCCACAGGTTGTCACCTGAAACTTGGCTTGGTCGCCTTTGAGACAAGGCTGGGGGATTTAGGTCTTTGTTAGGGCTTTGGGGTGAAAGCTGCAGAAAGCTCATTGTTTCCATGCGAGGTCTCCAGAATTCAGCTGTTTGAGCTGCTTTTCAACCTGAAAAGTCAAAGAGGAATATACAGGTGGAGGACAAATCCAGGCAAATTTAAACCAGGTTATTGATTCTTGTATGAACCTCATTGAACTGTGAAATGACTGTGGTTCATACAGCCCTTTTCCAAAGCTTTATTGACCATGGATTAGAGGAGTTTATGAGCCATGAATTGCAGGGCTTTTATGGACTATGCATTTCTAGGAGATCTCATAGGCTTCCATGGAAATCTTAGGGTGTTTTTTTAAGCTACCAACAGAGAAACAAAGGAAATGAACACAGGAGAACAATCTTAAAGGAACATCAAAGGTCTGACTCCAATCTATAAAAGCCAGGAAATCCATAATTAATGGTTCCACAAAGACTTCGGCTCTCACAGTCGTTTGGGTCTGATCCGAGGTTATAGCTACAATCTGAAATGGCCTCATGAAAAATGAGTCATCATTTTATGTCACACATCATTATTAGTATTTATTTTCAGTTATACCTTGGAGATTGTCCTTTTCTTTTTGTTCTGTCTTAACAGCTGAGGCATTTGAGTTGGCACCACTGAGTGGACAGTGTTTAGATTTGCGTGCTGGAGGGTTTGTACCGCTGCGGAGGATGAGAAAGCTTCTGCTCTGTCTTTTATCCCTGTCTTTGACAGAGCTAAGATTTGCTGATCTCCTGGGTAATCAGCTACACTGAGGGCTATTAAAAAATAAAAAATGCTGATGAAATGTGTGGTTTCCTCTCCCTTCTGCCTCCTTCCCCCAAAATCTAAACAAACTGAAAAAGTCCTGCCTCACTGCAGTTTCTGTTTGAAATTGTTTGTCAAGAATCAAAATTAAATGGAGATTGCAAGTAGCAAGATTTTTTTTTTTCTTTAACTACTTGATTTTGCAGAAATGTGCAGATCTGAAGTCTGTCCTTGGGAGGAATTTGAACTTAGACAAAACTCAAGCCCTAGTTGGCTCCCATAGCCAAAAGCCGGCTGGGGCAGCAGGGAGGGGAGGCAAAACCCTTGGGCTGGAAGGCTGCAGTTTGGCATACAGACTGTGTTATTGTTCCTGTTGACACTTTGTTAGCTAAGCTTCCCCATGTAATATAAATAATTAATTGCAGATCATTTGCTGGCTTTTCATGACGAGATGCTCAGTTAGTGGAAAGAGTAGAGAAATGTCTGTAACATTTCAGAGTGGTCAGTGAAGAACATATCAGGATCACACCTTTGCTGGAGCAAGTAAACAGTTCGAGGCTACAAACAAAACCAGCCCAAGACAACAGAGAACCTCTCCCAGCTGTCAGGGAGTGTTGCAGCTCCTGAGCACTAAGGCAAGGCTCCTGGGAAAAGGGAGAGTGGGGGAGTTAGTAACTGGGAGAGTGTTTCAGGAGGGGTGAGTTTTGGAATGAACAATGGCAGCTAGGGAATGAGAAGGAGGGAAGTACAGTGATGGGGAGAAAGAATTAGAGGGAATGTAATGGGCAAGTCATTCCCACTGCCAAGGAAGAGATCTGGGTGATGATGGTGTTTGGATAGAGGCTAAGGACACACGTGCTTCATTTGCATAGGAAAGAAATTAAAGGAAAGGAATTGTTCTTAGAAGAGAAGAAAAGAAGTTCTTGTCGCAGATGTAAGCTCAGCCCTGCAAAATCTGCCATTAGTGGGAAATTGAATTAATTCCCCCTATAACTCGAAATGGCAGTTCTCTGATAGCCCAGTGCAGACTATTCGACCCCAGATGAATGTAATAACATTACAACTATCAATTTATTTTGGAAGAAACAGTTTTGTAGGGGGAAAAAATGTATACCAGTGATGGATGAAGGGAGACAATGTGTAATAAACTACACTGAGTGTGCCTGTACAGAGTGAACCTTATCAGTTTGGATGGAATTTAAGCACTTAGCCTGTTATCCTTTCTTTCAAGACAATGCAGTGATGGAAAACAGAACTCTGTCAACTCAGACAAACTTTTAATTCCACTTAACTGCATCTGAAAGGTAAATTTCAGTAAATTAATCCAAATTGCTTCCTTTTCACAACACATGGTGCTGAAATACAGTACTTAACTTCATTAAAGAAAAGACTGCTTTTATTTAAAGGAGACCTAGACACCTTTGAAGTCTAACAGGTAAATTGTGGTCAGATGACTTCCCTCCATATGGTAGCTTTGAGCTCGAAATTTCCATCACTGGGGCCTTGTTTGTTTAAATTACCCCGTCCACCTCCCTGGTAAGGATAGTGCTCAGGGAGTGCCTGCCTGCTGATGGTCATGGGGAGGGGGATCACTCCCTCCTCCAGCCTGTCTCCATGCAGCCAAGTAAGCAGTGCCACTGCATCTGTTTGCCCTGTGCTCAACCAAAGGTGAGGATGCAGCTTCAGGACCTCTCTGACTTGTAGTGAGCCTCTCTTACTGAGGGAATGCTCAAGCAGCCAGGA